AGAGAGAGAGAGAGAGAGAGAGAGAGAGAGAGAGAGAGAGAGAGAGGAACCTTCTGTTCAGCTTTAAGTGCCTCCTCAAGATTGCTTAGTGCGGGAATTGATCCTCCTTCCATTACTCCCATCAAATTTTTCATACGAACACGCATTTGGAAAAGTTGGGCAACAAGTTGGCTTACCTGAAACAGTTAAGAAAGTGGTGCGAGGTTAGCTTTTTCTTTTTTTTTTTTATTTGATCGGGCAATTAATGACTTTAATTAGATATTGAAAAAGAATAAAATACATACAAGTATGTCAGGCATCCCACAATGTAGGATAGCATCTTCCACCTACCCTTTTATTTTAACTACTGACAAAGCAATCTCAGAAATATCCGTCAAACTGAGTACACTGTTTACCCTCTGATTGGCCAATGCTTTGGCCAAGCAATTTTCCAAGCCATGAATCCAAGAGAAGTTTGCCACTGGCTTGCTTGCCATAATTCTTATCAATCACTAACCCAGGTTAACTTATTTTAATAGATTTTTATAGATAAAAAGTAATTGTATTTTAAACTAAAAAATCAAAAAAGGCCTATACAAATAGACGAGGCATGCCAGTATAAGCTGTGCATAATCTTATGCATTGAGAAGATTATAAAAATGATCTGATCTCAGTCAAATCTAAAGTGACAACATTGAAATCCTTTGGAATCTAAAGTGGCTATSACATCTTGTCCTTCTGTTGTGGCTAAGTTTATGTTGGACTATTTCAGCCTGCTTTAGTGGAAACCTAAATGATGGTGCCAACATCTGCATACCTGCTGTTCTGTCTTCCCCGAATCTTGAGCTACTCTTTTTCTCCTTTCAGGGGATTCTGCCAATAATTCAGGCTTTTCCCTTTCCTCTGCAAAGTAAAGGAGAATAGTAAAGATATGAATTGAACAACTTCAACAGAAATTTGGAAAATAGTATTCATTGAATTCAAAAGTAGTGTAATGTATTCAAGAAATGGATTTTCGGAGGATCAGGTACAGTGCTACCATTATGCAATTTCTGACAACTGCATTTAGCAAAGGTAACATTCTTTATGTCAGATATTGTACTAGGGATGCTAATAGACTAAGCTTGGTTTAGGTTTGATTCTATCTGAATTCAGTACTCTGTCAACATCATCCCATCCACAGCCGAGAGGAGCTGAGTACCAAAACGGTCTATCTACTGTTGAGCCAGTGTTAGGCATGAATATTGAATAAATTTGAATCTGTCTCCATTCAAACCAGGTTTAAGCATGGTCTTGAACATATACTATTTCTTCCCTCATTTTCAGCATTTAAGCTTGACATAGTCCAGCTCCAAGTAAAGGCCTAAAGTGTAAAGAGTCATCCATGGCAAGGTCCAATAAGCGCATTGGCTAGGTACATTGACATGACTAATTCAAATCTCAAAAATTACGTATTACAGGAAAATAAACAGAAAAAGAAAAAGAACAGACCGGGGGTCATTGCTTCAATCATTGCTTCCATTATCTTTAAGCTCTTCTCTGCTTCTCGAATTTGTGCAGGAGTTACCTGTAAATACATAATTCAAGGATGTTAAGCAAATAATTTTCAGTCTACTAAATACAATTGAAATTTAATCTGCAGGTTCACTATTTGTCCCATCTCAGATTCACAAATAACCAAAATAGCCTCTAGAATGAATAGTCTAACATGTCATAGTTTTAAAACTTGACCAGTTGACTCAACTTGATGGGATTTTTGAGTGGGCACACCACCCAGATTCACCTTGATATAACCAAAGGTTTTTTTCCTTTTTTTCTTTTTGATCAGTAATTATCAGAGTAAGTCTCAACCATGCCAAGATTAGGGCAACTTAAACTCATGATAACTTTTTAACATCTTTTTATCTTGACTGATTGAGTATACACCCAAGTCATTGAGTAGAATTAGACTCGATGATCTTCTGAGTTGAGCTGAGTTGTTAGGTTTCAATATACTGCTGTATACAGAAAATATAGATGGCAGCTGCAGAAAAGTACCAACAAAAACAAGAATGTAACAAAAATCAGATGCTTTTACCTTCCCCATGCCTGGAATCATTCCAATAACACGTGTCATGGAACCCATCCGTGCAACAGCACGGGTCTGCTTTAGGAAGTCATTGAAGTCAAATTTTGCACTCATTATCTTCTTTTGCAACTCCTGTGCGTCCTCTTGCCGCATCTAGTTACACAATTCAGATAAAGTACACATTATACTACTTTTCTTTCATGCAAGACAAAATGAAACTGGTTAAACACTCACAACTTCTTGTGCTTTCTCCACAAATGAAAGAACGTCTCCCATTCCTAAGATGCGTCCAGCCATACGGTCCGGATAGAATGGTTCAAGATCTTCCATACGTTCTCCCCGTCCTACAAGCTTGATTGGCTTCCCTGATACCTATCATGGCCTAATCATTAATCATCAGATAATTGAAATAGATCTGTAACTGCTCCCTCTGTAGGAAGACTTCAAAAATTTGAAGGGCATGAAAGAAATATCTAGGAAAAGAACCAACAATAAATTGGTTTAACTAGACAGGCAGGTCTGAATAATGGACACAATTTCACTTGTCCAATTTTGTGCATCTATTTCTTCTTCCAAAAAAAAAAAATTTAAGGACATGGAATAAATATCTAGGAAAAGAGCCACCAATAAATAAATAGGAGTGGTTGGTTTAACTAAGACAGGCAGGTCTGAATAATGAACACAATTTCACTTGTCCAATTTTGTGCATCTATTTAAGAAAGACAATCCAAACTACTACAAGTTGACTACTTCATTTGTTCAAAATTTCGTTCTTCAGACCTCACTCTTAACCTCTCCTTTTTTGGGCCACCTGGCCTTCCATCATGTGGCCTCCAAACCAACAATCTCTCCCTTGTAGAGTTCTTGGATTTCTCCATGACTTTTTTTTTGGGTTAAAGTTTGAGTCTGAGCCAACAGGAAAAACTGATCTGGGATTCCACTCTAAAATTTGTTGCATATTCAATTTTCAGAGGATTGTAAATTATCATTTGCTTGGTCCAAGCATGGATATCTTCTGGGCAAGAGCAGCTTCAAACATGATAATGATATTTTTGGCCTTTTKCTCTTATATATGGCAGTAGAAAGAAGTTCTAATAGAACTCTATGGAAGCTTTGGAAAACACATAAAGGAGTTGGTTGAAAAATCATGTTGTAATGCTAACTTTTGGTATAGTTACGCTCTTAGGTGGGGCCCATCCAACAGTGGCTCCTGATATTCCAAATAATCAATTGAGGCAAGTTATGCGGGACCTGCATTTTTTTACACAAAGTGGTCACCTTCAAACTCAAAACCAGCCTCCTTTTCTTTTATCAATAACAAAACTTTCATTAATCAAACAAATGATTAATTACAAGGAGGGGGAGATAAACTCTCTCACCACCCTCCTTGACAGCCCAAGATTTTACCATTGTACCAAGAAATGGATACAGTTTACATTATTTGATTATTATTCCATAATTTCCCTTGTTTTAGTTCTTTTTTTTTGGGGTGGGGGGATGAGAGGGTATACTTGTCCATTTGATTATTTATGGCTTCATTATTGTATTTTTTTTCTCCTCGCTATGTCTTCAGCAAATTTTTGAGTCTTAAGATGTCTTACTAAAGAATATCCAAGATTAAGAGAATCCAACCTCTTTGACACTTAGAGCAGCTCCACCTCTAGAATCACCATCTAGCTTTGACAATATAGCACCAGTAATTCCAATCTCAAGATTGAATGTTGTAACCAGTGCTGCAAAAAGAAATTTCCTAACAAGATAAATAAACAGCGATATATTTACATTGAGGAAAAAAGATAGAAACTATATATAAAAAATTCCAAGTAAAGACGTATAGTCAATTGTAAAAAAAAATAAAAAGGTAAAAACGAGTAGGTCTAATTCAAACATAAAACTGGAAAGCTTTAAACCCCACAAAAAATAGATGTCAAATAATAACGTAAGCAAAAGATATATTCTTGCTTTATCAGCATCTTCTTAGCTTTTGTTATTCTCAAAACTACTACTTAGATTCCTTATAAAGAATACAGAAAATCACATGAGGGACAATGTTCCGTTGGATATTGTGTTCATGATAGACATTGCATGCATGAAAATTCAAACTGCATTATATATGCAACACATTTTAGGTATTCTTGTAACTACAGTTGAACTGGACTTTAGAAATTTATTAGTAATACACTAAATTTGCTAAATTATTGATACGCCAAAGTATGTTTTGCTAATACCATGAGATTTACAAAAACAACAAAATTATTTTTATGTAAAAGAGGTTGTATAGGAGAATGTCTCCTTGGCATGAACAAAAACATGCCATGGAAATCTTGTTTCCCTTTATTCTTAGTTTTCACGGTGCCAAGTGTAGGCATCTTCTAGGAAATGTTTTTTTTTTTTTTAAGTAAAAACCATGTATTATCCTAGGGTAATTCTCTATATTCTATAGCAACCACCAACCATCTTTCACTAGTAATTATCTATAATCTTCATAAAAATGTAGAAAAAGGGGTAGCCCAATGAACAGTGCTCCCGCCAATGCGGGGTATGGGGAGGGACAGATGTACACAGCCTTACCCCTGCACATACAGAGAGGCTGTTTCCAAGATTGGAACCCTGGTCACCCAGGTTGCAATGGATCAACTCAACCATTGCACCAAGACCCACCCTCAATCTTCATAGATAAAAGTGTATAAACTTCATATTAAAGCATAGAAAATCGACATATTCATAAGAAGAAAAAGAAGGAGAAAATTTAGAAAATAGAGGACTGAGCCCTTTTCTTCTCCTAGAAAAAGAAGAAAAGAAAGGGAAAAAGAAGAAACTAAGAAATAATAAAATAAAAAAAAGAAACTAGTATTTTATCTCAAAAACTGAATAATGTAGTTTAATAGTGTCTGTTTTATTATTATAATCTCAAAAAATTAAGAATATAAAAATATATAATAGCACCATGTAAAAAATAGATAGGTGATTAAGCAAGGTGACCCTCCATGGGCGCCTTGCCACCTAGGTGTCACCTTGACAACTATGCCTTTATTTATCAAGAAGCTATTTTGAAGTGGATTTTCTTATAATCACTTGGTAATTTGACTAAACCTTGTTTTGAGGGGAAAAACTCTTTTGTGGGATGTTGTGTAATAAATTAAAATTGGGGTTCAGCTGTAGGAGGTCACCTCTCAAAGTGGGCCTTCTCATATCATTTCCCTCTTTTTTTGTATTGATTTACTCAATTAACAATTGGCAGCAATTTAGGTTAAAAAAGCTAAAGATAAACAAAATAGTAAATAAAATAATAATATCTAGCTACTTAAAGAAACATCCAATCACCAAGGTCAAGTCATTGCAGATTCTCAACTACCAGAATCTAATCATCTATTTCTCACGAGAAGAGTGAAGCTTTGGGAGATCACTCAGTAACTCCATAGGCTAGATTGGAAGTATAAGTGCAACGAAACCAATGCCGTCTTGACATTAGACACTATATATCTACAAGGCTAAAACATTTGCAGCCTACTACCAAGCCCCAGTTGATTAAAAAGTTATGATGCCCTTTCTACACATAGAAAATGAAACTATATGTGAATGAAACACTCTACTGGACTAATGTTGAAAAAGGTTTTCAAGTTGTGTATGTGCTTTGCACTGAGAGTTCAAAAGAGGAAATATGGGCATATGCATTAACACACAACATATGGAGAAGCTGCTACCTCTACAAAAGAACATTGTAGGAATGGAGTTTATTAGTATATGAAAAAAACCCCACCTTATTCCCAAGTTAGAAGGACCATCAACAATAGTACTCACCTACGTAGAAATACATCTATCCCGAACCTCAAACCTGCCAAGGATTCTCAGTTTTCATTAAGCAAGCAAGCAAGACACTTTGGCCCACTGCCTACTCTTTGACACCATTAAATACCATCAGCCAAATCACCTTCAATGGTCAAATATGAAATAGTAGCTTCCTTGAATATTAGAATACCCATTAAGAGAACTTGTATTCCCATTTCAGTAGTCCATGCCACCAACGGGGCCACCAAAACCCCAAAACAACCTCCATTTTCCTTGAAGATAGCCCCTCCAATCCCAGTGAATACCTCAATCCCCTTATAAAAGCTATCAAATTGAAGTCTAATCTGTTCCTCCATGGAAGGGGGGATAGTGGTCTTCCATGGATAGAGTCCCCTAGGAAAAGATTGATCTCAAGAAGGTTTTGTCACATGTCAGCTACCAAAAATGCCTTGGTACTCCTTAGCACTAACATCCAAGAACTGAGGAGAAAAATAGCTCATTGTCTAAAGGCCTCAAACGGTGCCTCAACATTCTCAAAAACATACAGGCTCCTTTCCTCCCAAATACTCCACTTCTCAGAAGACCTAATCCATTTCTCTTGCAGGTTGTGACAAACTTTGTAATCCAATTTGGTTTTTTGGTCAACTACTTTATTTGTGGAATAGGTGTACATATTGGTTTTCAAATGTCGAAGCATACCATTGTTGAAAGGCAGTAGGACAATGTGACAAAAGTATGAATTTGATTTCCAAGGTTGAAGTTAACCCTTCCCAATATCCATCAAAAGTTATTCAATCACAGGAATATTGAAATTACATCAGTTCTAATATTGCTCTTTCTCACTAAGGAAGTGTTGAATTCACCTCTCTAACAGAATAGGCAACTGTATGTCGGGACATGTCATTAAGAAACCATAGTTTTCTTTTTTGATCAATATAAGCAACCATAGTTTTCAAAGCAATGTCTAGGCAACAAGGCACCCATAGAGGGTTGCCTCACCCAAGCATCTAGTTGCTTTTGTACAAGGTGCCACATAATATTTTTTATGTTTTTTATTCTATGAGATTTTAATATTCTAATAGGCCTTATTGCACTAACTCTTCTTTGTTACAGTTTGATCAACCTACCCTTTTGTTCTTTTCCAAGGACAAAAACAAGGGCTCAGCTCCTATATTTTCTAAGCTTTTTCTTTCTTCTTTTTCTTCTCATGAATATGCTGATTTTCTATGTTCTGATATGAAGTTTATACTTTGATGAAGATTATTGGTAATTATTAGTGAAAGATGATTGATGGTTTCTATGAAACCTAGGGGATTACCCTAGGATTTAGGCTTTTTAAAAAGTCCATTGCCTAGGTGACGCCTAGGTGTCTATAGATTACAAGGCACTTCCTTGTTGCCTAGCTTCAACTTGGTGCCATGACAACTATGCAAGAAACTTTAAGAAGCCTTCATGAATAATTTCATTCAACAACTACCAAGGTATGTAATACAAGATTCCATGTTAACTGTCCTCAACAGTCAACACCAGCACATGTCAGTGCAAGAGTTACATAAATTCTACAATTATCATTATAAAGGTGTTCTGTATCTTGCTTTTAACATTGAGCAAGTAAATAGAGAACCATGTATAATATTCTTCCAAAGGAAAAAAAAAAAGATAGAAATTACTAAAAAAGGCCACTACCAAATATTGTTCCCAGATTTTTTTTTTTTTGAAGCAAAGGTAACTTTTTTATTGAAGAAGAAACAAACAGAAGTACATGATAGGATGTACTGAAGCCAAGAAAGGATTGGCAGGATTACAAAGGCAAACAACTGTCACTAGACAAGAAATCTCTAGAGACCCCTGATTTTGCTAGGATATCCGCAACAGAATTTTGCTCCCTAGGAATCCAGAYCAACTTCACATTCATAAAGCCTAAAATATCCCTGGCTTCAGCTAAGAAGTGGGCTAGTCTCCAGGGCCCTCCCTTATCCTGTAACCAAGCTATAGTATTTGCAGAATCCCCTTTAATGGTTAAGGAGGATAAACCTAGCTGTTTGGCAAGGCGAATTCCTGTGAGTGCAGCCAAAATCTCTGCCTTTGTGGCATCAGCCCTCCCAATCGGACCGCTGTAAGCCCAGCAAATGTTCCCCCTTTCCCCTTGGATTACACTCCCCCCCCAATTCCTGCTTGACTTGTGGATCCTTGGGCGCTACCATCAAAGTTTAGAGTCATTTCTCCTTCTTCTCTAAGAGCCTGTCTCATAGTCCACTCAGATCTTGGAGAGGAGTGTAGGATTTCAGGAAGGTTTCTCTGGAGATCATTTAGGGAGAGACCTTTGAACACTTCAGCATTGATTACCAAAAGGTTGCAGAGATGTGTGATGTAGGAAGTTAGATCTTCAACATTTCTAGCTTTATTTTCAAAGGTTTATTGTTCCTTTCTTCCCAAATGCCCCACAAAATTGCATGGGTCACTGTATTCCAGTAAAATCTTCCTCTTTTTCCTAGCCCTCTGCCTTGCCATTGCCACAATATGTCCACCACTCTCTCCGGGAACACCCAACTGTAACCAACTAGGTTTAGGAAGAAGTGCCAAATCTTTCTAGTGACCGGGCAGTGGAGAAGGATGTGATCAGTTGTCTCCCCGTCRCCAAGACACAGAGGACAGACATGAGGGGAGATGCATAGTCTGCCTTTAAACTTTTTCTGAAGCAACTCGCAGGTGTTCCCAGATATCCATAAACATAAATAAAGTGTTGTGCTTATTCACACCAATTACATCTATGAGTCTAGGGGGAAAGGCACTGCTGTGGTCTACCTGAAAGTCGATAGATGACAGAGGTAGGAAGGTTTCTGGGAGGCTGGAAGTATGAGGGAGAAGACTGATTCTTGAGTTTGGCAGAGCTTACACAGGGCTAGATCAGAATCTGTCTGGGGATCCTCAGAGACCCCCTATTTATAGAAAACTCTCTCGGGAAAAAGGAGGGAACTTTCCAGCTTTGGAAAGTGACTAGTTTGTTAGATCTAAAACCACATGAGCGAGTTAGGAATTCACCATATGTGATGTGTCCATGCAGTTACGCTGGTACCCAAGTTCCCACTTTTTCCCGACGCTCGCATGTGAGCATGGCTGTAGCTACTACCCCTTCTAGAACTTTGATTATATGTGCCACAGAGATGCCATTTCAAAAACATTTAAGTGTTGATTAAGGCTATGCAGTGGGTGGCATAGAACAGATGTGTAATTGCGGGACAAGATCGTGGAGCAAGGTTATGAGGCCGTGACACGAGATCACGAGAGTCTTTGCACCCAACAACATAGAGCTAGGTGAAATCATGGTATATCCTTTTAAGGTTTGAGTGCAATGAGAGACTAGAACAGCCTCGCCATGATATAAGCCTAAAGTATGATGAGGTGCCACAGTATCTTCATTATAACGTAGGATGTGTTAAGGAAATGCAATGAGCAATAGGAGACTTCACATACAACGAATGCACTAGGGACCTAGACAGAAGGCCCAATGGTGATAGTGCTAGAGGAGAAAGTCGTGACACCACAATGTAAGTGTGCAAAATGTGGGGTTATAATCCTGCTGCAATGAGGGATTGGGGAACCACTGGCATGCATGAGAGACAGATGTGTGGGGATGCAGTGCTACCACCTTGATACTTCGCCGTGTCGCTATTATTTGTGCAATAGCTGCCTATGTGTCTTTAAAGTGGGTGCTCATTGCAGGTAGATGTCCAATTCTATGTACTTACAACATCACATTCTAAGAAGCTTAGCAAAATCTAATAACTAWTTTTTTGCTTAATAAAAGAAAGGGAAACATTTTATAGACTATGATATGATACTTTTTGTTGTACTTAAAGACCTTAATAATTCATCCTAAGTGGAATGAATGGAAGTCCAAATACCTGCAGCTTCTTGGCCAGTCATTGCATCCACCACAAGCAAAACTTCTGTAGGATTCAACTCACGCTTCACTTCCTTCAACTCATCCATCATTGCTTTATCAATCTGATTTTTTTTTCAATTAAAGAAAAGGCCCATATCAATCAGTGAATATATATTCACAAAAGGAAAAAAATTATAGATGCAAAAAGTATCAGTTGTAGAACCTGTAGTCTTCCAGCAGTATCCACTACGACTACATCTATGTTCTTCTTTTTTGCCTCTTCCAGACCTTGCCTAGCAATCTCTGAAGGTTTTACCTCTGTCCCTGCTGTATAAACAGGAACATCTACCTGTCAACATTTTATAAATGAAAATAAGAATAAACCATATAGTTCCAAGACTGAAAGGCTAAAGGAATTAGTAAACATAACAGTTAGTAATGTCTTGGTAAAAAACATGAGAATCAAGTGAATGTCTTCCTCCCTCCCTCCTATTCAGAAATTCCAGACACAAAGCTTGCACAATTTAACTTAAGTGAATTATGTATGGTGTTACTTGGGTATCTTGACTTTATATATTGATATATACTTAAAAATATCACATTAGTAATTTCAAACTGATTACTCTCCTGTAAAATGTGATCCAAAAAATCATCTGATAGAGGCAAACCACCAATGTTATGTGATGGTTGAAGAAAAGATCACCAGACTCTTGGGCTTTGTGCTATCAACCAGAGAGGCTAGAGCTTACTGTCCAGAGTGAATATCTTGTTCAGATGGGTTTCAATAACACTTACTGGCTGACAACCTTGCTACAGTTGTTGGGAGGAATAACTTGTACTGGGACAATTTCTCCAGAATAGTTTCTTTCTTTAATAATGGTTGCTACCATGTGACACTTTATGTTTAATTCACCCTCTTTCTATCTCTTGGGAGGTCCCTTTCTACTCTTGTTTCCAATTTTCTATCTCTTAGTAAAATCCATAGTGAATGATAACTAGAAAGAAAACTTGTGAAAAAATGATCACTAGAAAGAAGAAAAGGTTGAATACTGAAAATCTAAATTACCTGTTCACCCAGAATAACAAGTTGATCAATTGCAGCAGGCCTGTACACATCTGCAGCAACAAGCATGCAACTCTTTCCCTGTAGTCAGCATTATATGTATTTATGTCAACAATGTTAAGATTAGACATAAATGTGTGGGAAGCATGTGCACAAGGAACAGAGTTAAGCATACTCTACCAGTTTTTTAAGATAAAAAGCTAGCTTAGCACAAACAGTTGTCTTTCCAACACCTTGTAGACCAGCCAATAATATCACTGTGGGGCCAGATTTTGCAAAAGTCAGTTCAGATACTTCTCCACCCATCAACTTGACAAGTTCATCATGTACAATCTGCACAGATCAAGTTGTAAGTCCATAATATCTAATGATGCTTAAGACACAAAATCAACATGCATCTTGTGCTTGGATAAACATCACAAACCGTTGATTCAGAGGGATTTTAAATATTATTTCCCTAGGGGTGGAGGCAAGCTTGAATTGGAATCATGATGACCGCAGATGACATATGGGAATAAGCAGAAGGTCTCATGTCCAACTCCTAATTGAAAACTATCAATGCTCATTAAGAAGTTTAGGAACCATAATGGATCAATTTCCTCAGCCTGGTTACACATGAATATCAGCATGATTTTCTCAGAAATAGCATTCATTAGATATATTGAATACCTTAACTAACTGCTGATCTGGTCTCACCCCTCGAATCAGTCCAACACCGACTACTTGTTCACTTACAGCCTGAACAAACCTTCTGACAACAGGCAGGCTTACCTGTCCACATAATGATAATCAGTCTTTTATTTCCTCTCCCTATCAGTAATAGAAAAATGCATGAATTCTCCCTCCAAATACAGTACAAGTCATACAACAGAATACCAACATCTGCTTCCAAAAGAGCCCTCCTAATATCTCGCATAGGTTCCACAATATTGTCCTTGGTCAAAACTTCTGAAATACAGAAACATCATAAAATGATACCATATCAATCAAAATGGTAATAAGAAATTAGTCGTTTTGCACAAAACAGGTATTTCATTTCATGAATAGAAAGTAAGTGCAAATAAGTTCCAGCATCATGCAGCAAAAAGAAACCACAGATGCCTAATCCCATGAAAATGGCTTCTATGCATAATATATAAAATATGCATCTGCTTTGTCTATAAAGCCCCAAACCAAACTTACCTTTTAGCAAATTTTCTCTAGCTAAGATTTTTTATAATAAAATAAAATTTATTAAAAGGAAAAGGAAAATTACAAGGAAGGTGACCAGAGGTCGCCCAAAAGAAAAAAAAAAGGAAACCAAGGATGGTGGTAATCAAATAGGTAAAATCTCAAAAAAAAAAAACATCTAAATAAGGGGATCAACCTGGATACCAAGGATCTTTCCTGGTAATGTAATAGCAAAGCATCCATGAGCACCTAGAACTCTCTCTGACCGAATCTGTCACAATCTAGGAGCCCCCATCCCAATGGTAAGACTCTCAGCACACATAGAAACAACAACAGAGGATCAGGGGACAGTACTTAGTCTATACTAAGCACAAACTGAAAAGCCCAAGCCCATATTTATGGCAAGACCAACATCTATATCCAAACTCAAGTCTATTATCCATTTGACAATCTATATACCTTGGAACCATAAATCTAGGGGTTTACAATCGGTCGGCTCGGTTAGAACCAAGGACCCAACCGACTATTCGGTTTGACCATTTTCTCCAACCAAACCGAACCGAACTGACCCTAACCAAATTCGGTTTGGTTTGGTTCGTTTTCGGTTCGGTTGGGCACTAATTCCACATAAATGATAAACATTCAACAACTAATGAATAATTAATAATTAATAAGTATTATTCATTAAAAGTTAAAATGGCCCCAAAACCCAATGGTTTTAATTAATTAACTATTATTAATTAAAAGTTAGAATGGCCCCAAAGCCGAATGCTTTTAATTAATTAGCTACTATTAATTAAAAGTTATGCCCAAAGCCCTATGCCAATGGGGAATTGGCAAATTGGCCATTATTCACAAACAATTAATGTTTAGTCTAGATTTTAATTAACTATTTTATTAATAAAAAATTATTCACAAACAATTAAAGCCAATGGGGAGTTGCCAAATTGGTCATTGGGAAATATAATAACTAATTAGCATAAAGTATTAAATAGAACATTAAATATTTAATATACTTAATTAAATAACAACACTAATTCGCTTTTCAGTTTGGTTTGGTTGAAAATCTCAGCCAAACCAAACCAAAACCGAAAACCAGTTTTTTAAAAAAACAAAAACCAAATCAAACTGATACCCAAATTAACTGAACTGGACTAACTTATTTGGTTTGGTTCGGTTCAGTTTTCAGTTATCAACTGAATTTGAAAACCCCTACATAAATATACCATGACATATAGAGGCCACGTGGGAACTTTCAGACCTTAATGGTCGTTAAAATTACAGAACTAGGAAATGTGTGATGCAGTTTTATAACAACAAGAAACCTATAATGCCCAGGAGTGTTTATCCTATGTAATATACTAATATGTTCATATATGCTTTTATATCCAATTTCTAAAGCTGAACGTCATTTCTCAAGACTTATGTCTTGTCAAATTTAATTAAGTTTCTAACATGTATGGGTTTTATTTATAGTATAATTTGTTGAAACCTGCCACTTTAAATATTTTAGAAATCTTAATACTGTAGAATGTAGAAGTATCCATGCAGCATCTGGTGTCATATCTGGTAAGTATCATGTCTGACACCAGTGCAAGAAGCATGGAAAGTTGCAGTTAGTTTGATGAATATTTAATACATGATTACACAGTATATATATATATATATATTTGATGAATGAATGGTATTTTATTATGATTACATAGTATACCAACAACAAGAAATGTGCAAAATGTTGTTAGTTGTCTAACTACATTTCCCAGTACTGGTATATTGGGCATGCACAGGTATCCTGGTATCATAGCAAGAAACATGGAAAGTTGTAAACTTGTAATTAGTGTGATAAATATGTAAAGCATAGTTTATCAGCAACAAGAAATATAGAAAATGTAGTTAGTTGTCCAATTATGTTTTCTGGCACCAATATGCTAGGCATGTATGGGTATCTAGTATCATAACAAGAAACATGAAAAGTTCTAGAAGTGATAAATATGTACAACATAGTTTATCAACAACAAGAAACATGGAAGATGTAATTGTCTAAGAATTTGAAAGCATGCATAGAATACATTGTCTAAGAATTTGAAAGCATGCATAGAATATATAAGGGACCATTGCACGGTGCAATGATAAAATTTTGGGGCCAAAAAAACAGAATTGAAAAGTTGCAACAGGATTTCTTGTGGGATGGGGGTGGAGAGAAGAAGAACCACTTAGTCAGTTGGGACCAAGTGTGTAAATCAAGGGAAGCAGGGGGCCTCGGAATAGGTCGAATCAAGGAAAGAAATGTAGCTCTCTTGGGAAAATGGTTATGGTGCTACCCTCTTGAAGAAGATACTCTATGGGCCTCAGTTGTCAGCAGCAAATATGGAAAGCATGCCAACGGGTGGGATAAGCAAGGACCACTTGAATCGAGTGAAAGCCAACAATCCTTGGAAGGTATCAGTTCTACCTATTCTTCTTTTATCCCTTTTATTAGATATATATAGAGTAGGTAATGGATCTAAAATTAAATTCTGGACTAATCTGTGGTGGGGAGAAAATACGTTAGCTTTTTCTTACCCTCATTTGTTTAGCCTTTTCCCAAAACCAAGCAGGCACCATAGCTTCTTGCCTTTCATACTTGTCTTCTTCTTTAAGCTGGAATCTAAGTTAAAGAAGACCCTTAAGGGATGTAGATATTGCTGAATTAGCAGATCTAACACATGCCTTAAGGGAGGTCTACATTTCCCCCTCAAAACAAGACACAAGAATCTGGAAACTCCTTCCTTCTGGGAAGTTTTCAACCAATTCCTTTTTCAGGGCCTTGGCATCGGAAGAATCAGATTCTGGGTTCCCGTTTAGGAAGTTTGGATTGTTCACATCCCCCTTAAAGTTGCTTCTTTGTTTGGGAAGCCTGTTTGGAAAGGATAAATACTTGTGATCTTTTACCAAAAAAGCACTCTGGTAGACTGTGCATTTCCCCCCATGTCTGTGTTCTTTGTCTCAACAATGGAGAGTCAGCCGAGCACCTCCTTCTTCACTGCTCAGAAACTAGGAAAATATGGAGCGATGTCTTAAATCTGATCAGCTACAACTGAGTATTTCCTAAAAGCATCAAGGATTTTTTGTGGCAATGGCAAGGGAGAGGGCTAGGTCAAAGGGGCAAACTCTACTGCAACACAGTGGCCCAAACAGTCATGTGGGTGTTTGGGAAGAACAAAACAACCGCATTTTTAACAGCAAAGCTAGAACCTCGGAAGACCTAAGCTCTCATATCTCTCACTTACGCGATTTGTGGGTGCTGAATTCAGAGATGTACAAAGACTTCTCTCTAAACATGCTTCAGCAGAACCTGGTGGAGCTGCTGTTCTCTTCACCTAGTGCTATAAGAGCTACTAACCTTCCCTAATCAAGGGAAGAGGAGGAAGGACTGCAGGCTCTACAACGGCTGAAGTCGTAGCAGTGTTAAATGACCTGACTGACCTGGTGGTCAAAGGTGATTCTAGCAACACAATAAAGTGGCTTGAGGACCTTGGAGATTGGCTTACTACCTAGATGAGGCTAGAGATCTGATATACGCCTTAAATGCATCTTTAATCTGGAATCCCAGGAATTTAAACTCTGTAGAAGATAAATTAGCTAAGTCTAGTGCTCCCAGGGAAAACTTATATAGTAATAGTATAATGCCTTTGTAACCTGTGTGTGTTTAGCCTTCTGTACATCATCTCATGTACTCTCTTTTCTCTCTTTTATAAAGCTACTCTTTTTCTCAAAAAAGCATGAAAAAGCAGTTCGAGTCTGATAGAAGCCACATGCAAAAAAAAGGCCAAAGGTTAAGTCCATATCCGGTCTACACCTCCCAGCACCCGGATGGCAAGGACCATCATTAGATAATGATTTTTTCCTACATAAGCAATAGAAGTCGGTATTTGTGTGTGTTTACCTGTATGCTTTGAGCATAGACAGACCAACAAACTAAGGGGGTGCTTGCCAATATATATGATTTTGTTTTTGCTTATGTTATTGGTCTATGCTCAAAAACATTGGCAAAAAAAAAAACCCTTAAGTAATTATCCTTAGCATTATGAGCTTCTCTTAGTGGTCTGGCTAAATTATAAATTTAGAGATGCGAAATCTCTGACTAACTGATGTGACTCCGATACCGGATTAGAGTACTAAGGCGAAATACCAAATACTTTATTCATGGCTGTGCAATTCAACCCACTCCCCTTTCTTTCCTTGATTTCTCTATTCTAAATTTCTGACATTTTCATATTGTCTTGTCTACAACCAGCATTAACTACATTTATTTCCATCCAGTTTACAACATTATTGAGCATCTCTCAACACTACACCAAACAAATTGGACAAAGCCATTCAAGGGGAGACAGAACAACTCTGCCCACACTGAGTGGTTCCTTCCCATGAAATTCTTTTATATTTTCATCAGACCCAAATCATTTTTGAGGAATCTTCCCTGCTACAACCATCAGTTTGGTTGGATCATTGGTTCATTATATCCCTCACTCAGACCACTGAGTTCAGGAGAGTTACCATAGCAATATGATTGATAAAGAGTTTTGAAGTAGATAAAGGAGAAAATTACTGAGGATATCGAAGAACTAAAGTTGTCAGCTCCAAGAAGAGAAAATTAGCAAATCAGGTTCTGTAGCACTAAATCTATACCATATTCTAAAATGCAGTTGTCCACATCAGACTCCTCAAATTGCTTCCCAACCCCTTAAGAATTTTGTTTTTTAAAATAAGAAATTAAATATTTGGGATATTTAAGCTCACCCACAACCGGTTTAGTTAAGAAACTGAATGTAACATGGGCATCTTTTTAACACCAGCCCGAGCATCGCATGGGTCTCTTCTTGCTTCCATACCCCCTTAGAATTTTGTGGATTTTAATTAAAAAATAAAAAAGATAAAACATGGGCTACTCACAACTGATTTAATTTCCTTTTTATTAGGAAACCTGTAATCATTCCCCTGTAAAACATGGTCATCTTTTAACACCAGCCCGTGCATCACATGGGGGTCTTCTAGTCTATACTATATTCTAAAATGCAATTATCCACATCAGCTTACTCTCTTTTGCTTCCCGATCCCTTTAGAATTTTGTAGTTTTTTATTTAAAAAAAATCAAACAGGGACTATTTAGAAGTTACAACAGATTCAGTTGCATGATAAAAAGAAAACTGAATGTAATCACTCTCATTTAACATCGGCATCTTTTAACAGCAGCCAGTGCATTGCATGGGTCTCTTCTAGTGGAACTCTAATTTTCAGTAAAACTTCTACCACATTCTGAAAAATAAATATTCTTGCAATATTGAGAAACCTAGCAGAAAAGAGTAGAACACAAGTAATAGGAGATAGAATGCTTCATGGACAAAGAATAACAAAGAGCTCCTTATTTGACTCATACTTAATACAGTAACCTTGAAAGCATTCCTTACTTTCTCAGCCATTACTACTCCATAACTTCCATAATATGTTAAGCTATCTTTTTCCCCCACCATAAAAGATGCTAGCCAAATGATGTTGGAGATGCCTTTTGCAATTCATAGACCAGAATAAATATTTATATGTTTCATACTCGTATCTGAAAATCTAAAACCAGTGATTCTATTCAAAGCATTCAAGATGTAGCCAACTTCAGTCCCCTTTCAACATCATTTAGTACTAAGTTGTGCATTGTCACTGTAATTTAGTCAATTTCACTAATTAAATAATGCCTAAAGTAAAGAAGACTTAAGATGGTTTCAGCCGTGGAATCATAAGCAGTTAGGATCCTCAGATGGTAGACGCATTCCTTSTTCTTGTCTGTCTCAATCTAATACAACCTTCATTGATATTTTTGCCACAGATACAATTAATACAGAGCTATCTAGCCTTGTTCCAACCAGCAAGGATGGTTTCATTGAGTCATTTGAAATAACTCAAAATTTCCCAAGAATAGACATGTCTCTTTCAATAAATTCTCAAAGTACCAACAAGACTTGCCACGAATTTTCTGATATACTTCAGTAAGGAAACCATGTATATGTTTCCGTCTCAGCGATAGAATGTAAAAAAACAGTCTTGACACTAACATAAAAACCAGGTAATTTGCCAGAAAGTTACAATGTTCACTTCTGTTGGTCCAGAAGCAACTTGAGTTTTTCAGATATGAATTGCGTAACCAAATTGAGAAGTGCCTGAGTGCAAGTTGAAGACTTCAAAGAGCAACGGAAGGCCAAGAAGAACGCGGACTAGGCTGATAAGCGAGGATCCAAATGCTTACCAGAGAGAGAGAGAGAGCACGCATATAGTACCAGGCAAATTTAAATGGTAGAAGTTCCAAAGATGAATATCCATGATCATTTTTCAAGCAAACAGACATGAGGCGTGAACCAAAGGCACCAACCAACTTCGGCCTTCAACAAAGAACCAATTTCTTTTTCAAAAACCTCAACTTCACTAGATTCCCAAAGAAGTTAATTGGCTTCCAGGAAAACGAGAGAGAGAGAGAGAAGAAACAGAAAGCAAACCTTCTCCTTTGAGCTTGCTCCAAGCTGCTTCGAGGCCACTAGTCAGCTGCCCAAACATTTCCGCTCTTACAACACCTCGCATTTCCCTTCTAACAGTAAGACTCCTCGAATGAACCCAACTCCATACCTCCCTCTGCAGTTCATAAAAAATAAAATGTGACGAAAAAGAATTRAAGAATTACGCCACGAATTTCAAATTCAGAAGTGTAAATGATCTTTCCGATACAAGTAGGTTCCATACTATCTTCTTTCACTGCTTACCGTGAAAAGATTTCTAGAAGAAGGTTCTATGGAGAGGCTGGAACCAGTCCAAGAAGAGCTAAATTTGGTCGATGCTCTCGGGTTGCAGAAGCTAGAGCTTGCTGGAAGTAAAGAACGAGTTGAAGAGAAATGATGGGAAGCAACGGTGGAGACAGAAACCGCTTCCATTGCGCGAGGACTATTGGGTACTGTGGGACTGTAGAGGTTTCTCTCTATCCTTTATCCTCTTAAACTGAAAATGCAATCCATCGTTCTATCCGTTAGCTGTCTTACGTGTACGACGCATGGTCGTTCATGTTTAATCCTTCGGCTTCCAGGCCGTTAAACTCAAATCCAACGGCGGATGGACACGTGCCCCATCTATCTATATAACGTATTGAAAAAGTTCACAGAACTGCGGTGAGCGTGGATCGAACACGCGACCTTCAGATCTTCAGTCTGACGCTCTCCCAACTGAGCTATCCCCGCATATGCATTGGTAATGTACAGAGAATTTATTTAACAACGCCCTTCCTAACCAGAAAAATTTTTGCAACCAATTAATAAAACAAATCTAAGGTATACAAATAGACAGCTCTTCTCTTCAACGTTGTAAAATGGTTTGGAGCCAAAAAGAGGCTTGCATATTCACTTCCCTACCCACAATWTGTTATACATTGGAAAGATATTCAGTATTTACATGCTATCATTTATGGGAAGATATTCTTAATGTACAGTTATAGTGCCATATGGATACAAATAAGTAGGATTCTTGTGGGCAGGAGACCCGGAGTCATTCACCTCACCCACTGTCCCTCTACTCATTGCCAAGGTGCAAAGAACTGAAACAGGTATGAAACACTGAATTCCTTTTTTATCGGATGTAATTTTGAACTCCGATATCTTATGAAAGTAAAATTATTTCAGAACAAGAGTTTTCAATTTTTGTTGATGCGGCTGTTGTTCTTGTTTTCAAAAACAACCAACTATTTTGTGGAGCAACCCCTACGTCTGCCCAGTCCAGATGAATTACAAGCATGAGACCAACATTAGGTATAATGGCCCTTTAGAAATAGTGAGATTCTTTGCAAACAAAAACTCTCTAAATCAATCTCTCCATGAATTTAAAATAATCTATATGAACAGAATTTTTATGTGCAAAAGATCCCAGCTCCTTTTTTAGATTAGGTATATTTTTGGTTTAGTTTAGGTATCACATAGGCGCCCCATCAGCAAATGCCTCATTAATTGCATTTGTGCGTATTGAAGTTTGTAAACTTCGGTTTCTGTGCACCTCTCCCATTTTAAAAAACTTTATTTTGGAGCTTCCTGAAATGGGTAGACGTTTATTGGCATTTTGATGATGTAGTGCTTAATGACACCTATGTGTCATAAACGCCCTCATTAAATTTGTTTTTTTTTGTTTTGTAGTCACACAAGTACAAAGAGTTTACTGAATAAATGTAAATGGAACCAAACACCTTGTAGAAAACAAACAATTCCCTCTATGACAAAAAAGAGTCGTGCATACACATCAAGCTTAGAGCCCTTTTCATTTCACAACGTTAACGGAAGAGTAAAAGTCATTTCAACTAGGGGTGGCCACGAGTTGAGCCTTTCACAAACTAATTGAGCTTGGTTCAGTTTAAATCAAGCTTCAAACCAAATTCAAGCCCGATATATAGGTTCATTTGCTAATCAAGCCAAGCTTGAGCCTAGTAAATTTCGACTCATGAGGTTTGCGAGCCTAGTATTAAATAAATATATATTTTTTATTATATATATACATATTATTTTTATTAATATAATGTTCTAATTTTTTATGTATAATCATAAATAATTTTTATAATTATTTTATATATATAATATTAGAGGTGTAAATCGGGTCGGGCCACCCACGATTTTGGACCGGCTCGACCTAGCATAGCACAAAGACCCACGGGCCATGCTAGGCCTGACACGGAGGTCCGTGTTGTGTTGGGCCTAACACGGAGGCCCATGGGCCAGCACAGCACGACAACACGGGTCGTGCCGCCCACGGCCTGCCAGGCCCGTAGTGGGCTGCGCTCGACTCGCCTAGGAATATAGCCATTGGGGCCCCCTCCCAAAGGGGCCTAACGGTTAGTTTCAGCTTTGGGGTGGGGGGGGAGGGNCCCCCCCACCCCAACAACTATAACCAACCATATTAGGGGGTATTTCTGTATTTTGCTTATGGGGGTTGAAAAAATGACATAAATGCCCCAACAGCTATATAGCAGCTAGTTTATGGGGCATTTTTTGTAAAGTTATAAGTAACTTTACAATGACCAAAATACCCCTCCCAACAACTAAATAACAGATAATTTTTTGGGTATTTTGGACAATTGAATTATGTTCAATTCCTATAAATAGCCCTATCCTCCACCATTCTCATCACACCAATTCAACAATTCTCTCTCTCTCTCTCTCTCTCTCTCTCTCTCATACATTCTCAATTATCTGCAATTTAAGAAATTCTGATTAGTTGATTGTCTAACTCTGCATTCTCCAATTCTCAAGTCTCAACTTTATCGAAGTTTCAACTTTCAATAAGAAAAATGCTTGCTCAACTAGCTCAAGTATCTCAATTCGGGAGGCTTTGATGTTGAAAGGCTTCAACCGTTGAAATCAAGTTGGGATTTTAAACTGGCAATCCGGGTAATTCGAATTAGATTCATTTTTATCTTTTTAAAATTAAAAAAAATGGCTAGCTCTTCTGAAAATTGATTCCCCAACATGTTCACCAAGATGACATTCAATTGCATCACGATAATGTTAGCACTGATGCGATTGATGTCGATGGAAGTAGAACTTTTACCCTAAGTAATAGTGATACTAGGGGAAAAATGAAGGCTTCTAAGCTGAGTAGTCCGATTTGGAAAGTTTTCAAAGTAGAGGATATTAATAGGTAAACATCTGCTCACACATGAGCGAGAGGAAGATGAATGGAGAGAAACAACCCAAACACAGATTAGGAAGGGGACTAGTTTTGATACTTTTAGATACTCACAAGAAAAAATGAGACAAGAACTTACTAAGTATATTGTACATGCAGAACAAGCATTTATATTAGCTGAAGATCCAAAGCAAGAAAAATGGTTGCATAGTTCTGTAAACSCACAATATAAAAAAGTTTCTAAGAATACTATAAGAACTTATGCTTTAAAATTTTTTTATTTATATAAACAAAACTTAATTTCTTTATTAGCAAATCTTAATTCTAAAGTTACAATTACTTCAGATGTTACTGGCCATTTCATTGATGAAAATTGGCTTTTGAATAAAAGAATTTCAAATTTTACTAGGCTTGAATGGCCACATAATGGCCCAGCTATTGCTGCAAGTATTTTAAAAAATTTGCATGCTTATAATTAGTTTTGATGATGCTAGCAATAATGATTTTGCAATAAAWATTTTAAAATCTCAATTAAAATCATACTTAAATGATAAATTATTTCACATTAGATGTATTAGATGTGGATGTCACATCTTAAAATTATGTATTCAAGATGCCTTGAATATTATTTCTACTCATATTTCCAAAATTACAAATTGTATTATATATATAAAATGTTCAGGGGCAAGAAAACAAGAATTTAAATATTTATGCCAAAATTATAGTTTAAAATATAAACATTTTATATTATATGTAAAGAATAGGTGGAATTTTACTTATGCTATGTTAGAAAGTTGTATATCTCATAAACAAATGCTTTCTGATTTTTATAATTCAAAAATGTTTAATGATATGATATTTGAGGAAGATTGGGAAATTGCAATATGTATAAAAGATTTTTTAAAATATTTTTATGATGCAATAAATGAATTATCTAGAATTTATTATCTAATTAGTTGTAATTTACCATATCAATTAATGGTAATTAGTGATTATTTTGCTAAATATAGAAATAATCCACAATTTCAATGTATTATTGAAATTATAGAAATAAATTTAAAAAATATTGGGAGAACATTTCTCCCCTTTATTGTTTAACTACAATATTAAACCCTAGGATTAGGAAAGATGGTTTAGATATTGTACTTGAAACATATTATTAAAATATAAATATCGATTAAAAAATAAAAAAAAATTAATAATTTATTTTTTGAAATGTACAATTTGTATGAATATGAAGTTGTACAAAAACTTTTTTATTTAATAAATAAAAGGYAGAAATCTGCTAGTTCTACAACAAGTTCATTTACTAAATTTAATTTTTATTTATAAGCAAATTTTTCTAATTTAAGTGAAGTATCAAATAATTTTGATATTTTAGCCTGGTGGAATGAATATTTGAAAAATTATCTGATTCCTGYTGCCATGGCACGTGATTTACTAACCCCTCCGGTGTTTACACTTCCATCAGAGTCTTGTTTTAATGCAAATACAAAGGTGTTGGATGACAAAAAAAGTTGCATGAATGATGAAAACATAAAAATGTGCATCTATGACAAGGATTGTCTAGATGCAAAAGATAGATTAAAAGACAAGGAAGGGCATGATACAACACCGGACATTTCACCCGAAGCAGATGATGAAAGTCATGAATGAAGATTCATGAATTTGACTACTTGTTAAAAAATTAAAAAATATATATATCAAATAAATTAAATATAATTTTGTATTTTCAATTTTTGACCATAATGTATTTTTTATATTTTATTAATTTATTCCATGTTTATATTTCATTCATCCAAGTATGCAATGATCCAATCATTATTTGTAATTCACTAATTTGTACCATTCAAATTTAAATGAAATAAAATTCCTATTTTTTTCCAATTTGTTATTCCACCATTCTTATTTCAATTTGATTAAGTATTTTTTTCATTTATCTATTAAATAATTTAGATTTCTCATTTATTAATTTTTTAAATAATTCCTAATTCCCAAAGTTCATAGGAAAGTTAAATATTTTAGTTTTACAATTTTACTTAAAAAAGAAATCAAAATTTTCAAAAAAAAAAAAAACAATACAACCCAATTCAACCCAAGCCCAAGGCCCGCCCTATAACCCAACCCGGCTCAATCCAATCCCGCATGCTGGGCCAACCCCCAAAATTTCCACTAAGAACGACATGGCCTGTGGTGTGGCCCACGAACCAACACAACAGCCTTTAGGGCAAGCCACCCAAGAGGCCCACTTTACACCACCATATAATATTAAATAATTTTTATAATTCTTAATTTTTTGTTTGAAAAATAAAAAAAATAATAATTTTATACATATAATTTTTGCCGAGCTGAACTCAACCTCAAGTCTCTAACTCAAATCGAGCTCAAGCTTAATGCCATTCCTACGAGCCGAGCTCAAATAGTCAAGTATCCAAACGCGGCTCGGCTCAAATCCACCCGTATTTCCAACCCCCACCCCTTTTCCTGAAACAAGCTAAAAGTTTTCACAGATAATCCCAAAACGGTATTAACAACTTTTGTTAGAATGGTAAAATGGTGGAAGTTGTAGACAAATGAGTATCTTTCGTTTAAACCAAAAAACAAAAAAAAAAAGTTTTTGTAGTGTAGCTGTCAAAAATAAAAAATAAAAAAGCTAGCTTCCCACAAGAGCCTACATTTGCTTCAAGGTTAAGGAAAAGCAATATTTTCCACAAAGAAATCAATAAAAAAAAAGTAATGTTATCATGCAGGAACCATCAGATAATACTTATTTTAACATTATGTTAAAAGCCATTCCATGCTTAAGGGGAACTCATCCACATCCACAAATTAAATTACAGTCATCACTGACAATTACCATCACATTCTATAAATAGGCCAACCCCCGTCAAGAATAATGCAAGTCATCTACATTTATTCCTYCTCAGTAAATTACAAGGCAAGAGCTCAGGAACTTTATAGTAAATGGTGGCCACCGTGTCAACCTTTGTGGGGACCTTCTTCAAGTTTCTGAGAAGAAAAAACCAGTGAGTATGATATAACAAAGGAGAAGAAGAAGCAATTTATAAGCCAACATCAAAACCAAATTTGTGTTACATTGATAACAATGATTATTCCTTGCTTTAATTGATTAAAAAAAATCTCTTCAGGTATGCCAGGTCCACACAGGAAAGAGTTGGTAAGCAAATGTGTTTTAATTCAATAAATGATGGCAGGAAAAAAAAATCTAGTTTCACTGTTATTGATAAAAAATCTAGTTATAACTTGGTGCATTTTCTTTATTATAATGAGGAAAACCATTGCATTGGTGAACAGTTAATGGTGTTATTAATCAAGAGAAATTACAGAATTGTGAAATGTCCAAAATATTCACGATTCATGTAAATCACCATACATTTGTAATCTGATGAACTAATATCTCTCTAAGCCCCATGGCAATGTTCCCTTCAAACCTAAAATCAATAACAGATGACTGATGGTTGCATGGATCCTAGATGGATAAAGTGTTCATGTCAGACATGGTTTATACCATATTCCATGATTCTTGATGGGCATTTCTACATAATATTTTCCTTTCTCTCCTTGATTACTTGATATAAGTGGATTTGTAAGGGTCATTACTTAGAGGAATGATAAAATCTCAGAGCTCAGAAACATGAGAAAATGGGTACAACTCTTAGTGCGGTAACTTTGTGGAAGAAATGCAAAAGGTTAAGTCTGCATCATCCAGTCCACTCCCAAGTTCCCGGAAAGCTCCAACCAACTTTAGGCTATGACCTTTTCCCTAATTATTTGACATATATGAGCAGATAATGTACATAATGAATGCCATTTTTCCTATAAAACACTACTAAGCAACAAAAATAAACTCCTAGGCCTTTTAATGGATGATGTAATGTTAGAATTCAAAAGAAAATAATGCATTATTTTAATAGTTTATACTCTTCCATCAACACGCCCATGAACCCTAGTTTTTTTACATCTTGCCAAGTCAGACTCACTGACATGTATCGGATTGATTACAGTGTCTATGCTCATGCAACATTACGTGTGGGTCATAACAAACATGGGATGATGATGCTACAGGAGCCTGTCACATACATACGTGATAAAAAGAAACAAACTCATCTACAATCAAGAGAGCTTGCAGACATCTTCTTCCTCTGGTTTGATATACAATAAGAAAAGATTTCCTTGAATAGATCAGCTAAACATGGATATTTGATGATTCCAATCCACAGCCCAAACTCCAAAGCATGGAAAGAAAAAAAAATAAGTTTAGAGCAAAGCAGTAAAAGACAGCTCTGTATTGCCTAACGTCTAAGATTCCAACAAATTGGAATAAAATAGAAAATAAAAATGATGGTGAGATAAAGTGCAGCTGAGTATGCTATCAAACATAGCTAACCAAAAACCCACACGATGGTATACAATTACAGACTTCAGTTATCCTTCATTTGAATGTAAAATTGATCAAATTAATTAAGGACGCTCTTAACTGGTTTCTTTACTAAATTTCAGGGATCTAATCAAAATTTTCCATCAATACAGTAGATTGAATCGCCTATCAACGAGAAAATAATTCAGCATCAAATAAACATTTGAATCATTGGCTTCCACGTCTCTAAAATGGGAGCAGGCTAAAGCAGTGGTTGAATATTCACAAATACTCGTACAAATGGTGCACAACAGAGCCTAAAGCAATAGCCATGAGACATCTCCCAGACCAAAACTACACTGGTCAAATGGTCTTAAACCTCGAAAAAAATGAAATTTCTGCACAGCATTGCTGTGATAATAAAAAACGGGTTAACCGGGTGAAACAGAAACATCGATAACTAGAGTTTAGCAATATACACCTAGGGTTTGCTACAGAATCTAGCTTTGTTGAGTTAAAACCCCTCATTAGATCAAATAATGAAAATAAAATAAGGATCATCAAAATGCAGAGAACCCGAGTAAAACGAAGAAAAAACACTAGCAATTCATACCTTCTCAGCTTGCTCCTTCTCTGCAGCAGCCTTTTCTTTCTCTTTCTTGAGCTTCAATTTCTCCATCTTCTCCCTCTCCATTTTCTTCACGCCAAGAATCAAAATCACCACAACGAAGATCAAACCTCAGTTGGGCAAAAACTAATACAAGAACAGGGAGAACAGAGAAGGTCGAAATGAGAGGACAGAGAGTGTAGATGAGAGAAATGGTGAGAAGTACCTGAACGTAGACGTTCTCGGCTGCTCGTTCTTCTTCGCTGAGAACCCGACCCTTGGTGGTTTCACTGAAGTAACGAGGAACAAACCTCCCAGTTCCCTCAATTAGACGATTGGGAGAAACACGCCTCACGACAGACCTCATCGCCATCTCCCTCGGATGTTTCACCACTTGTTCTTGTAGCAGATTTCTTTCTTGATGAACACGAAGAAGTTGAAGTCAAGAACCCTAGAGTCTTCTTCCTCATATAGGAAACAAACAGGTGGTTAGGTGGGCCCCATGGGCTGAGAGGTTCCCGACAACAGTGATAGTTTTGCAAAACCAGATAAGATTTATTCCGGCATTTGGGATGAAAGGGCAAAGGCGGTTTTGTAAAACCGGATGATTGGATTGGATGAATTGAAGAAGCATCGAGTTCGAGGGGCGTTGAAAAGGAAATCGGATAAAGGCGCGTGATTCTAGTGTTCTAGAAACTTGGAATTATATAAAAAATACCCATGGCCCATGGCCCATGGCTGGTGTAAGGCGTTACGCGCGAGTGAGCTTTCCGGACACGCGTCTCTCTCCTATACGTGAGATTCCACTGTCGGTTGCTCATCCTTACTCGTAAAGCTTTTAGTTTCATCTGTTTGAAAGGTTTTGTGCTTATCCATTTTTTGCAAGTTGCAACGCAAAACTGTATGAAAAATAACAATAAAATGATAAGCATTACAGGCGGGAAGAGAGAGAGATTAATGCTGAAAAAAACAAACAAAACAAAACAAAGGATTTCAATGGCATGATTTTAGATAGGGATGTCAATGGATCGGAAATTGTATAGGGTGTGGTGTGTTTGGTATTGTGGAGGAAACGATGGATATCTTATTTCGATCTATTAGGGCGTAGATTGATCCATATTGTCCTGCAGTTTTTGGTCCATGGTTAAATTGGATGGATCAATCTACATCATAGTATATTTTTAATATTTTTATAAAGCTTTGCCATAGATCACCAAGATAAACTTCCCTAATAATGTATTTACATCCATCTCTGGTACAAATTCGGATTAGTTGAATCTTTTAGTTGTTTAGCAGGTTGTGGAACGAATGATGAAGTTTCCTGTCAATAATAAATTTATGGGCTCTTATAAGACTTTAGATAAATTTATTTTTCTGACTCTTGGGAAAGAGCTACCCTTAGGAATGGCAGCGGAGCGTGTTTGGGGCGAGGATTATAGTCATCGTTGACCCCTGCCCCGATTCTGAAATTAACCCCATCCCCGTCCTCGATCCCCGTTAGGGATAAAATTTGTCCTCCATTCCCGATCCTCGATAAAGATGGATTCTCCGAAGGGACCTGAATCCTCGAATTTTTTTAGATAATAGTATTTTTTTGAAAAATAAATTTAYTTAAAATAAATAAAAATTATGAATTATAAATAATGTTTTAAATATGTTTTGATAATATATATAATATAAATAATATATGTTTAATATAAATAACATTTAAATATATATATATATATATATATATATGTAATCGGGGTCAGGCGGGGTGGGAACCTCAATCCCCATCCCCCAACTCCAATCGGGGATTCCTATTAATCCCCGCCCCACCAAAATACTCCCCATTCCTGACCCCATGGTTTTTAAAACCGACCCGGAGATCAAACCGGTCAGGAGTCTGGTTATCGGGTCAAACAGTCAACCCATTCTGACAAAAAAATAAAAAACAATCAAAACCATTCAAACGGTTAGCCACCTGGATCAGCAGTTTGCTGACCAAAATCAACAGTTTTGGGAAAATTTCTGGTTTTGGAGAAAAATCAAAACCAATCACCTAACCGGTTCTTGGTTTTTCCGGTCTGACCATTAGGTCCGGGGAAGTCGGGTCCTAACCCCACCCATTCCCCGCCTCCCCCTCCCCTAATTTTGACATGATTTCAACCAAATCACCATGGAGCTAATGGATTCAAACACAATACACTATCTTGTCCACCAACATCTCCATAATCTATCACTTGATTGCTCTATTTGTAAGCTCGTCTATGTTAGAATCCCGGCAGCCCAATCTAAACTCAACCTGACCCTACCTTCTATTCACTGTTATTAGATTAAACGCATGTTAAGTAAATTTATTAGAGTTTCTTCCAATAATAATTTTACCATAGTGTTAATATAACTTTAGACGTAAGTAAAACTCTATATATTGAAAGATCTATTCCTCCACCTCTTCCCTCGCATCTTCCAACTAATAATGTCAATGACAAGTCAATAATGGTGACAAAATGGTATGTAAGAGCATGAGTGTCAATGGAGGTATTGGTGGCTAGGGAGGCACATATGATGGATAAAAGGGTGGGAGCAACAACTATTCAAATAGACGGTGGCTATAAGATTGTAATTAAGAGTCTCATAGGATAAGTTAGGCCACCAATATACTAAAGCCTCATTCACTTTTCGGTAAATTATTTATCTAGGTAAATGTACTTATTCAAGTAAGTGTTTTTTAAGAAAAACTTATCCGAATAAGTGTATTTACCCATGTTCTTTTATTTTTCAAGTAAATAAGGCAATGACCATTTTAGCCACAAAACTTCATTATTTAAAKGGGTATTTTTGTCCCATTCAAGCGTTAGTGACTTTCTCCCCATGTGGGAAAGTTATTTACCCACCTATGAGGGTATGTGATACCCAGGAAAATAAACTTTCTCTGATCCCCACATAAGTCTAAAAAAGAACATGGGTTTTTTTGTCAATGGGAATCAAAATCCCATCGAACAACTCCCCCCCCCCTCTCAAAATCCAAAAAAAGAACCCCCCTAAGAACCATAAGGCCATGTTTGGTTTAAAGGAAAATGTAGGAAAAGGTAGTGAAACCTTTACAACTCGTTTTGGTTTCCTTGTCTTTCTCTTCCTTTCCCTACATTTTCTTTCAAACCAAACATAGCCTAAGTGATTGTTATAGGATCACGGCAAAAGAAAATCTTAGGCTGCATTTGGTTGCAGTGCAAATCTGAACTAGATACAAATTTGTAACTATAATTTGCACTCATACTTGATACAAAATTTGTACTTGTTGTCTTATTTGCACTCATTATCTATGTAAATTTTGCATCTAAAAAACTGATGAAAAATATGTACCACCTTCCTCCTATCTCAATTCTCTCTCATATAAAATGGAGACCACATCATTTTGCTTCCCATCTCACTCCCAAAAAAAGAACTGCCCTCCTACCTCCATTCTCTTGCATATAATGGAACCACAACATTTTAATTACTTTTTATTTTACCTTTCACAAATAAACAAGACAATATCAAATTTGAAGCAAAATATAACCATAATTTACACTTAGTCTATTTGCACCGTTATGCATTTGCACCAGTTTTTGCATTGCAACCAAATGCAGCCTTAAGGTTTACTACTAGCTATTTGTAGCAAGACCTGGATCAAAGTCATGCCTTCACCTGGGTTGGGGTATAGGGGTTTGGGGAGGGCTACCCCCATAAGACAATTATGCATATCCAACTCTAAACCAAAGAACTGAACCAATTATTAATTGGACTAATAGGGTTACTAGACCCAATTATATTTTGTAATATAATAATGTAAAGGATAAATTTCTGAAACCTCCCTTGAAGTTTAAGACCAGTACTGAAACCTCCCCTGAAGTTTTTGACCATTGTTGAAATCTCTCTCGAAGCTCAGTAATTGCAATAGAGCAAATACTATTGAGGCTAATTTCTACGAAAAAAACAATGCAAAATTTATGAACAACAAAAACAAGAGAATTTAAAGTTGCAACTTTACCATTGAGTGATTGGTATGAAGGACAAATTTGAAAAATAAAGCAATTTCAGAATTAGAACGGTTTGGCGTAGTGATTATTATGAAGAGAAATTTTGGAAAATAAGCATTTTTGTTAAAAGTAAATGCATGGGTATTTTAGACATTTTCATACCTTTTTTAGAAAATTCTACCAGAAGGGATACTTGCAACTGTATTAGAAAGTTCAGGTAAGGTTATTGCAATTATTAAACTTCAGGGGAGGTTTCAGCAATAGTCAGAAATTTCAGGGGGTTCAACAATTTACCCTAATTTAAAACATCATTCTTGATAATATAATTAATAAAAAGACAATAAAATAATAAGACTAAAAGGTTACTAAAAAACCCATGAGACCTTTTATATATTATTAAATACATAATTGGTTTATTACAGTAAAAACTGATCCTGAACCAATTAGAATTGGGGCACAAAATTCAAAATTAGAACAAATTTGCAATTCAGTTCTATCAAATAGACCTGGTCCATTGATAACCTTATTGCTGCYCCAAGAATTGTATAACCCCTTTTTCAGATTTATACACAAAAAGAAATCAATATTTTCGGTTTTTTTTCTTTTTTCTTTTTTTTTTGTTGGGGATAAAGGAAAAGGTCTAAGGCAAAGTTATTAAGGATGACTTTCCCTTGAGCCAAAAGAGAGTTACCGTCACTGTCCCATAAGGCACAACTAATGCTGCTAGCTCTGGTGTCCTCTAAAAACCTAGCATCAAATAAGACGAAACATTGCATTCTAGAATAGAGGGTTGAGTACTCGTAGTCGTCGATTAGAGAGGTCCAATAGGGAAGATGCATTTGCACTCGTTTCATCCGTTGTGAACATTCATTGACTAGGGAATGGCACTATTGGGCCAAACGGATCGGGTCGGGGGCTGCCTAAAAACAAAAGCACTTTCTTCTTCAAAGCCACATAAAAGGACAAAGCAGTTCAACTACAATTCCCCTTCTGTTAAGACTAAGAGCAGCAGCCCTTTGTGGTAACTGCAGTGGAACACAATCTTCATATAAAGTTTTAGACTTTTAAGGATCGTTCGTTTATGAATAAGTTATTTATCCGGGTAAATATACTTACTTAGGTAAATACGAGTAAGTGCATTTTATCCATATTTCATTATTTCTCAAGTAAATAAGGTAATGACCATTTTAGTCATAAAATTCAATTATTAAAAGGGGCATTTTTGTCCCATTCAAGTGTTGGCAACTTCCCCCCCCCCGTGGGAAAGTTATTTACCCACCTAGGAGATGGGTAAGTGATTGACAACTTTCCCCCAAGTAAGTGATACTTAGGTTCCTTGGTCCCCACATAAATCTGAAAAAAGACCATGTCCCCCCCCTCTCAAAATCGAAAAAAAGAACGCCCCCTAAAGGGAACCTTTAAATGCCAAATGTATGTCCATGCAAGGG